ACTATAGTTACGCACGAAGCGAATAGTAGTTTGTCCATTCTTTTCTACCAAAGCATGGTTTTGTGTATTATTGACCTGTAGCATTTGGGAACTCGAAATTCCAGCCTCATTTGTTGTTCTGATATTTTCGATCAGCTTATGGTGGTGACCGGAATCCAGCTGCAGATATGGTTTTAGATACCTTTCATTTGAGCGATCCGTTAATTTAATTAACTCCTGTTCAGGAATACCTTGCTTGAACAAGGCTAACACAGCTGAAGATCGATGAGAATGGTTTGTTATTTTATGTTTTTTGTGTCTATTCCAATTTTTTCAGCTGACATTTTTATCCACTTAGATACGGTGTTGATTCCAAGTGGACATTTTTTAACCAAGATCCATCCTTCCAGTTGAGGAACAAAGAATCTGTCTGATAAAATCTTTGGTCCCCTTTTTTCCATTAATTTCAAAAATAATCTAACTGGGCATAATTTTTCGTTTGATGAATTTCTTGCCAGCCATTTACTGCTTGCCAAACTTTTAGAACCGCCTTGATTTGTTTTGAAAAAAATGTTGTTGTATTCAATTCGGCACGTAAATACTCCCATAACATCAAATTCCTTCTGTAAAAAGTGAATCTTGCAGTTTACAGCCTCATTGCCTCTCCAAACAAGTTCAAATCAGCACAGGTGAAAAGCCTTTTTTTGTGCTCAGTTGGGGGTTTCCTCGTCGTAGCTTTGGATGATTTTTTATAGTTCTTCAGTGGATAATACTTTTGTTGAAGTGACTTTTCTTTTTTCTTGAAAACTTTGGGGCTGCCTATGCTTGGTATCTCTGACCAATCTTGCAGATTTGAAAGATATATCTGTGAAAGGGTCGATTTTTATGTCGTACTCCGTAAAATATTTTTCTTGTACCATTATTGTTGTAGTATTCCACATTGACTTTACAGACGACTCTCTATATTATATTCGCCATTCCTTTTTTCATGTTAAAGGCATAATCCTTGAGAATTTTTGTTAGTTTTGTTATGGTAGTACATCTTTCTTTCTTTCTTTCTTATTTCAAATAGAGCTTCTGGACCTCTGCGTGTTCAATGGGACGTTTTCCGAAACAATTTTTTTGATTTCTTCACCTGACTGGCATTCAAATCTTGATTTTTCGTCTGGACTCATTTTATCTGCCCAAAATTGATTACGCCTCAATGACGTTTGTCAAACTGACAACAATAGAATTACCAGACACATTCGTGATGAATCTGTCAAAATTATGTCGCTGAGAAATCACTGGCAGGAAGGAGTTTTGTCAGTAGGAAACGTGGCGTTATTATGATGTTTTATAAGTTAAAAATAGTCTAATGAAATAGTCGCAAATAATCAATAAGCAAAATCATTGACATACGTCAATTTGATCAAATTTAAATGAACTGTGACAGGCAGATTTTTAAAATTTGAACAAACAGTATTTATACGACGGTTTAATTACTATTAAACTTATATTCACCGACACTAGGTGATCAAACCAATTTAATTCACTGTTCATTATCACTCCGAGATTACTGATTTTAAGAGATGTCCTGAACTTGTTCTATTTCATCTTGTCCGATTCTCATTGTGATTTGTTCATCTGTATTTGTTATGGTTTTGGCCTTGCTGTAATTTATGTTAAGGCCTATCTTTCCAGCTTCTACGTCCAATTCTTTCATCATTTCAAATAATTCCTCTTTTTTATCGGTTATCAATTCGATGTCATCAGCGTACCTTAGATGGTTCAAAGCCTTCTCCACAAATTTTTATACCTTTTTTTTTCCCATTCTAATCTTTTAAAAGTATCATCCAGAGCCTGATTGAAAAGTTTCGATGATATTGTGTCACCCTGTCTCACGCCTCTATTTATTTGTATTGATTTTGTTCATTACTTTAATTGTTGTTTTGGCTTCCTTATATATATTGGCTATAAGTTCCGTATATCTGTGGTCAATTCTGCTGTTAATCAAAGAACTTTTCACTGTCCAATGTACGACACTGTCGAAAGCCTTTTCGAAATCTATGAACGCCATATATACAAGAATGTGGGGAATGTGGTATTCATTTGCTCGTTTTATAAGTATTTTCATATTTAATAAATGGTCACTTGTGCTGAATCCCTTTTTAAAACCAGCTTATCCGTCGAATTTTGTCGTCAGTCTATTGGTTAAAATTTTTGTTAGGAGTTTATATATTACATTGAGGAGTGTTATAGGACGGTAGTTTTTATATCTGCTTTATCCCCTTTCTTGTGTAGGATAATGGTTACTGATTCCTTCCAGTTGTTTAGGATTCTTTTTTCCTTTAATAACTTCTAAAAAAGAGAATGCAGAGTATTAATTACCACTTTTCCACCATATTTCAGCATCTCTGCAGTTATACCATCTTGTCCAGACGATTTGTTGCTTATTTCTGGCTGTAGCTCTGAGTTGAGATTTTTTATTATAGCCTTAAGTTGGTTTTTAATTTCTTCTGGTGGTTTCTTTTTTGTTTTATATCATTCTGAGTAGAAATGGTGGATTATATTTATGTCATCTTTAACGTTTGTTTCTACTCCATTTACATCTTTTATTTTGTTTATTTCAAACAAGTTCAGAATTATATATATCTGGATCAAACTATAAAACTTAACAAAGAAAACCAAACAGCAGAGATAAAAAGACGAGTTAGACTGGCATGGGCGGCATTTGGCAAATTAAGCTACATTCTTAAAAACAAAAGATATCCACAGCATCTTAAGACCAAAGTATACAACCAATGCGTACTCCCTGTTCTTACTTATGGTTCCCAAACGTGTACATTTACAAACGCAAACATGGACAAAATCATAAAAACCCAAAGAGCAATGGAAAGACAAATGTTGCACATAAGACTAATGGATAAAAAGATAAACGCGTGGATAAGAGAGAAAACAAAAGTGAGGGATGTTAGACAAGAAGTTGCAAAATTGAAATGGAGTTTTGCCGGACACGATATAATACAAAAAGAAGACTGATGGAACAAAATTCTTATAAGCTAAAGACCGTGGGAATATAAACGAACCAGAGGAAGGCCCCAAATGAGATGGGCAGATGATATCAAGAACCACGTGGGCACTAGGTGGATGACTGTAGCGACAGACAGAGAAGAATGGAAAAGGATTGGGGAGGCCTAAGGCTAATTAGATAGATAGAAGAGATGTCCATTAATAAAGTGAGGAAGGGGGTGGGGTTATTTTGCCGCCGATATTTAGTACAATGCATTTTTCAAAGTTAAGCGGAACTAACCGTTCTGATGACCATTTTAATATTCTGTCAAGATCGTGTTGTTATTGCCATCAGTTTTATTTCCTTACTTGAATCTAGGAGTAACCGAAGCCAATTTCCAGGACGAGGGGAGAGAATCATTCATTACCAGGATATAGGGATACCTACAAATTCTGCAGATTTTTTACGGAAAAATGAGGTTAACCGTCTATTCCAGGTGTTCAATCACAAATTAATCCATTAATTTGTAATCTCACATTATTCTTAACTTCTTAACCTTTTATAGTTCACCGTGTATAATTGAAACATTGTGAAAAATATATCGTGTAATATTTTAATAATTAGTCCATTTACCTGCAACTCAATACATTGCCGAATAATATATTTTCCAATTGAACTGAAAGTGTTGCAATTACGGCCTAGATTAAATTGTATTGTAAGCTCAGAGTTCAAAGTTTGTTAGTATGATAGAAGCATTATTCTCTGTGCTGAGGTATACATTATTTGTGAAATTATAAATTGAGGATTTGAGCTCATTTAAGGGAAGTCTATTGATAGTTACCTAACCAACATCTATAGTGTAATTATTAGTAGCTGTCAATAAAACCTTAATTTTTACTCCACCACTTCAACATTTTATTGTATTTAACATCGTCGATCAAGGAGAAGCGGACAAAGGGGCGTTAAAAAACGATTCGATCCTCATGTCTACATTCGAATCTGTTCACCACGTGATAAATTATTGCGTAGTTTCCGTGAATTTTGTTCAATTCTCTCCGGTGTGAAAGAGATGTAATCAAGAGTTACAAGGGGACGTGGCTTCATTATTTCATGAATTATGTCGTTAGGTTCATCTGGAAAAACTCGAGACAAAAATAACGATAAACATTCTGAGGATTCATTATTCGAAGAACATAAAGACCCATCAGCTTTTTAAAGTAATGGCATAAAGACTTTAGAAGATAAAGATGTGCGAATGTACCAATAATTTTTTTTACTATTGCCACTGCAATGATAGATTCTTCAAATTCTGTTTTTAGTTTTAGCAATGGTTGTTTGAGTCGGTTGGAAAAAATACAGTTAGCACGAAAATCATCAAGTGAACTAGTGAGTTTATATATTCGCCAAAGCTTTCATTTATATCGAATTAAGTGTGTAGCTGAGACATTAATCCAAGGTTTTAATTGAGTCCTGTATAGTTGGTGTTCAGTTCTATGATCAGAAATATTTGTAATAGCAGTATGATGAAAAGTTTTATACATTAACCAGATATAAGCAAGTGCTCAGAAAGGCCCACAGGAAAGGACAATTAAAGTGTAGAAATTAATTGAACATACTTTGTGAAAAATAAGTCTAAAATTGAAAGATGTTTATTGGTTCTAAACCTTGTAGGTATTCTTTGAAGAACCCGTTATTTAGTGAAATTGTAATATTGAAGATACTTTTATGGAATTGAAGATAAGCAGGAGCCCACAAGTAGTGTCTAGCTCACTTCTAAGATAAATGCGATATAAGAAAAACAAGGTTGGATAATGTTAGTGCTCCACTTTAACCATAGATCTACACATCCACTGTTTAGAGCAGTGAACAAGGTAAAAACTAATATGCTGCAAATCTTAAACAGTATATCACACATTAAGAATTAGGTATTTTATTTGGACTTCAAAATTACAAAGAAGTATTGGATTAGTTTATTAATTAGATGAGATTAATAATTACTATTATTAATCTACCTTTGGCCTTATATGTTTTATTGATCACAGCAAACTGGAAGTTTCTGAATTTTGTTATGTTCTACAATTTCATCAAGTTTATGTAAATGATCCCACCACAGTTTTAATCTATGTTTTAGAATTGCTTGGAACCAAGGAGTAAATTGGCCAATCAAAGTAGGTAGATGCTGATCAAGGGCATTTCTAGGCACAAAACTAATTTCTGAAACTTCATCTGAATTAGGCTTAAGACCAGGTTTAATTTTAATATCTATATGTAAAAATAGTATATAGGTTATTTCATGATCACCCCATTTTCCATCCCCTTCATCTTTATGATACATTCTTGTTATATAGACAAATTTTTCTAATGGAATTGTTTCTTTTTCTATGCCTAATTCATAATGCAGTCTCCTTATAGCAGCTCTTTTTACACCAAATGCATTATTTTCTTCATTTTCACCTGGACAATCCGCTATAGGGTGTTCACAACACGAATTTGTGTAGTGTTCAGGATAACGAATCTAAAAGTATTAAGGTGTTTTATACAACAATATTTATATGAATCTTTTTACCGACATTATAAAAAACTATATTATGTAATAAAGAAGCAAAATAAAACCTAGTACGCAGCAAATTACAGCTATTTCACAGCAAAATGTGTCAAAACTCTCTAAGGTCCAAGTACAAGTTTAATTGGATCAGTGATCCAAGAATGTTGAATAAAATATAATATTGCCATAGTTTATTTGTATGAAAATGTATAATACAAAATCAAACATTAGGTTTCAAGTGCTGATCATACATTTTTTCACATATTTTGGATTACATATTAAGTGGCACACTTTGCACAGTTTATTTTTAAAGTATTGTTTTGTGATTAAACAAATAAATTGAAAAAAAAAGAAGCTGAAAATTTTGACATAAGTTTGAATGAATTTTCACCTCATATTTTTTAGCATATCTTTGTTCAATCACAAAATAATACTATAAAGTTAAACTGTGCTTACTATAAAAAAGTTTCAGCAAAATCAGTCAATTCATTCTCAAGAAATTGTGCCTACTAGACAGAAAAACAAAGTTTCAAGAAAAACGCGTTTAAATTTTTCAAACTGAGAAATTACTTCAAATTTGATGTGAATACTCTTCAAGTACTATACTTTATTATGGAATAAAAATAAATAAATTATTTTTTTTGAAAATATAACACCTACTCAACCCTTGCTGCTCCTCCTTCATTAAATTAGTAGGTACTGAAAAAAGCAAACAATTTTCCTAAACACCTCACACTCAATAAACTCCTAAACACTCAATAAAACCCCTACTCCAGAAGAAAACATCCTAACCAAAAACTGATAATCTACCGTGTGGTTAATCGCCAAACGGGCCATAGGAAATTAAATGGAAAATTCTAAATTTTTGAATTTCTTCCCTAATAATTTTACATAAAAAAACATAAGAAACTATATGTAGAGGACTAAAATATGCATTAAAAACAAATGTTAACATTGTTCTACGAATTAAATGTATTCCAAAATTTTTAAAAAGTATTATACATTTTTCAGGCCATTCCTTAAAGTCAGGCCACACGAGGTACAAGAATGTGTATGACATGTTGCGTTTGGTCATATTGATGATTATATTTGACAATATTTTAATTGTCAGTATTTTTATTTTGTAATTTTTTTTTATTATTGAGTTAATGCCTCGATAACTAAGATCATTGGCATGGTACAGTCAGGCACCTAGTGTAGTGTGTATGTGTGTGTGTAGAGTAATTGTCTTGATACTTAGCAAAGTCGACGTCACTGTCTTTGCTAAGAGACGCTAATTGTATCCGAACATCTGTGGTCCCTCCGGTGAGTACCGATCGCACAAGGATAGAAATTATTTTCATTCATTAATTTTTAATAAACGAAAATTTCTCCACCCAGATGAGATTCGAACTCACGACCTTTAGGTTTAAAGGTAGGCGCTCTTACCACTGAGCCACAGAGGGGGTTATTTTGTAATTAAATTATACACAAATACTAAAATACACAAATTTTCACAAATACTACTACTACTAGTGAACAATAAATAGTACTTTGTAAACAATAAATTATATTGTTTACAAAGTAATAAAATTGATGAAATGTATTCAGTTTACGAAAAATCGCAATAATATTGTATTCAGGTAATAGTGCGAGCACAGCAGATCTTTATTGAACACAAGATATCATAATACACTCCAGTTCAATTCCAGGTTATACAACAATTCAAAGAATTTTAATATAGTTTTACTGTGATCCTCCCTAATAATAATTTATGATAATTTCTAAACATAAAACTACAACAAATGTTCAAACAATAAGATATTTTGTACTAAGCAGTATCCCACTCGATTGTAAAATTAAAATTCTCGTCTAACATTAGCCAGAATGCGTGGCGTTGTTTTTACACACCCTTCAATAATTCGAAATTTTAATGCTTCAATATCTGTAAATTTTTGGTCAGAATAGATTTTTGATTTTAAATGCCCCCAGATAAAATAATCGTTTCGAGCTAGACCTCCCGATCTCGAGGGCCACTTAATATTACAGTCAGGTCCAATTAAACAATTATTAAAGCTGTTTTTAACGAATTCCTTAACCTCCCAGTTATTGTGTGCAGGGCACACATCCATTTGAAACCAGATTTCTTCTTCATCTCGAGCTATTTCTGCAAGTCTGGGTAAAATTTCTTCTTGTAGCAAGTCTAAAAACGTTATGAATTTAAATTTTCCTCATAGAAAAATTATCAAATAATATTGTGTCCAAATATTCCTAACCAGACATTTATTTTTCGACGATATTGGGTATGGCTTTCAATAATATCCTCAGGCTTTTTTGTCGACCAAATCCTATAAGTTTTAACATTTGGTTCATTATTTAATATAAATGTACATTCATCATAACAAAACATTTCATAACAAAATTCCTCTCGCCGCTCAGCAGCTGCTTCTCTTAGTTCTTGATGACATTGAAATTTATATGAACGGAATTTATTCCTTTTCAAACTTTTTAAGGCCGTAGAGTTATGAATATTAAACTGGTCTGCAATGGTCCGAGAACTTATTCTAGGATTTTCTACAACTGCTGTTAATATATTTATTTCATTTTGATTTTCTAAATTTTTTGGTACCTTAGCAATATTGTTTGTACAGGTACAATTAGAAATCATGGTCCCCGTATTTTCAAAATTTTGTAAAATCCTTTGAATTGTTGAATGACTTGGAATTGGTCTATTCGGATATCTTACGCTAAATAAAGAACTGACAATTCGTACTATTACCTGAATAAAACATTTTTATTATTTCTACTTTCTTCTCAACTGAATACATTTTTTAATCAACTATGTTGTTTTTTAAACAATAAATCACAAAATTAAAATTTTGACAATTCAAATATGTATTGTCAAATATCATAAACATAAATACGACCAAACGCAACATGTCATACACATTCTTTTACCTCGTGTGGCCTGACTTTAGGGGTGGACTGAAAAATGTATTATATTTTTACAAAATTTTGGAATACATTTAATTCGTAGAACAATTTTAACATTTGTTTTTAACATACATTTCAGTCCATTACAAATAGTTTCTTATGAATTTTGATGTAAAATAACTAGGGAAGCAGGAATTCAACAATTAAGGATTTCCCATTGAATTTCCTATGGCCCGTTTGACGATTCACCACCCTGTATAATGATTACAAATAATCTTCTCATACTCCTGAATAAACTATCTAAAAAGTTACTGAAACATTGAAATGGCCCCATTAAGAATTTTAAAAATATTCTAGCCAATTTTTGTATTTGTAAAATATAGTGCATATGAACAAAGATAGTACCAAATAACCAAGACAGAAATTCCAGCACATTTTTTTGTAATGTATATGTAATATATCCTACATATATTATTTAATTTGATCCTTTCATGCCATTGCTTAGATTTTTCACATGAAACACAAAATCAATAGTAAGGTCAAAATATTACAAACACTGACTCAGTGACAAAGGTCAACTTTCCATAGTAAAATAATAATTAACAAAAATTTTTTCAGTATAAGTCACGGACATAACAATAACAATAAACTGTTTTTCTTAGCTGTAAAAAATTTCACAAAGAAGATCCTGATCTTGTGACCCTAGAAGGTCAAGTTTTGCATTACAAGCCAGTTATAAAAACATTAGAAACATAATAATATATTCATAAATATTCTGAAATTAGTAAAAGAAAAGTTTTCCTGGAATTTAAGTACATGACACAAAAACTGCAATTAATTTGGTTTAAAAATTGGCAGTTCAATTTTTCAATATTAAACAGGGTGAGTCACCACTAAGGAGACAGAAGATTACAGCGAAACGGTAAAAGATTTTAAAAAAATTTTAAATTTATAGTTTGAAGGTTGATAAGGGCTACATTTTAAAATTATTTTGAAATAATCAAGGCGTCTCAATAAAGTGCTGCGTATCAAAGTTATATTTGTTCTTATGAGACACCCTATATTTTATTGCATTTTCTAATTGTCGGCAAAAAATAAGGTATAGTTTCATAAGACTTCCCTATACCTATGTACAGAGTGTTCTGAGTTATGTACAATATTCTTAAAATGTAAAGCTTTAAATGAAGACTCATTCCTAACTTATTTAAGGAATTCCAATAAAATTGGTTATACCTCTAAATAGTTGGATATTGGTTGAATGTATTTCATGATTGATTATTAAACATTTATTTACAGGGTGTTCAAAATTTACAGTTTTAATATTGGATTATTCAATGTGTAATATAAGGCTTATTTGAAATGGAACACCCTATATATTAATGAATTATTACATTGAAAAAATTTTCCACTTTCGAATGGTATATGAATGTCCTATAACTAGGAGTAGTAGATTTTGCGTAATTTAAAATTTTCTTTTCGATTTCAAAATATTTATCGTTGTTACTCTCGATTTTTAAACCCATCATTTTGACATATTTGTAATAAATGAAACCAATGTAGTTGTAAACAAATGTGTATACTTTACACTTTTACTTGCGGATACACAACGAATCAGAAATAATTTTAATAAAACAAATAATACAAAATGAACATAAATAATACAAAATAAACCACAACTTACTACACTACTCAACAATTGAAGTGGATAATTTTAAAATTCCTGAAATTAACATATATAACTATTTTTAAAATAATTGCCTGTACTATACTCCATATGCTATATTTATTGTCAATATTTTTTGCATGTGGTTTTTTTCTCCCTATTCTTATCGGCCCTTATCTCGTACAAAGAGAGACATATTGTTTCAAACATGAATATATCATTCCTATAAAAGTGCTTGTATTGGCTTTACCAGTTGTCAATAAGTCAAGAAATCTATTTATCACAAAAACATTATGCAGCAAAGACGTTTAGAACTAGTGTAGCTCGAGCAATTACTTAGTTGGATCCAACAAGGCATAACTCAACAAGAGGTTAAATGTGCCGCAAAGTGAAGTCGTGCATGGAATCAGTATGTAGTAACTGTGTCTGCAACATACAGGCATGGAGGAGGAAGAGAACGATCTACAACTCGTCGACAAGACCGTTTTGTAGTTCTGACGGAAAGAAGAAACCCAACATTCACGGCTTCCAGAATTTACAGTATCTTCAGGTATGCTACTGGACGAGCGATTTCCAGTCAAACTGTCAGAAGACAGTTACATGGATCCAATTTAAGGGCTAGACGGCGCGCTACCCATCCACGACTAACTAGAGAGCAGCGTGCATGCAGATATCGCTGGGCGATGGAACACTATCAGTGGAATTTCAAACTGATATCCGAATATTGGTGTGGAGGGAAAGAGGACAGAGTTACAATTAAAATCTGAGAGTCCCAACCACTCTTTTTGGAGGTGGATCGGTTTGCGTGTGGGGAAGCATATGTTTTGACGGTCGCACTGACTTAGTCGTCTTAATTAATGAGACAATGACTCATACACGATATCGAGACAGAGTCATAGTACCATGGCCATTCTGTCTCCGGCTTCTACATAAAATGTAGCTTCTCCATTTCTTAAATTTTAAAGTGTTTGTTTGTCTTTGTTTAGTGTATTTGTTATGTCCCAATTTACATTTATAACATTCTATTACTGCTGGATAGGCCACAACTGACGAAATGCCCCTGAGGATGATCTTGTGATCGAAAGTACTTGGGCAAGATTTGATTAACTACTGTGTTCGATATTTGCCTTGTGTACCATCAAAGTTCATTTATTCGAACATTCAACCTTATAATGTTTAATAATTAATCATGAAATACATTCAACCAATATCCAGCTATTTAGATGTATGACTAATTTTATTAGAATGGCTTAAATAAATTCCTCGAGAGATTCCTAGTTTAAAGTGTTACATTTTAAGAAAATTCAACATAACTCAGAACACTTTGTATATAGGTATAGGGAAGTCTTATGAAACTATACCTTATTTTTTGCAGACAATTAAAAAATCTAATAAAATACAGGGTGTTCCATAAGAAAAAATATAACTTTTAAACGCCGCGCTTTATTGTAACACCCTGTATATTTCAGAATAATTTAAAAATGTAGCCTTTATCAACCTACATACTATACAATCAAAAAGTTGAAGATAAAGTTATATTACTAGATGAAAATAAAGAAAAAAGTAAATTTCAAGAAGCAACAGTGCTAACTGAATTTACATTAAGTCAATAGAATATGGACTAAATTTTTATATTTTTTTTATCAAACTTTTTTTCTATTTTATTTTATTTTTTAAGTAAACCCATGCATAATATCATAATACGCATATTGTAGTGCTTCTAATAATTATTATCATGCAGAAAAAAGTTGTGGCTCTCAGGCTCTTCAAATAGTGTTAACAAAAAGCAATAAATCTTGCTTGACTTTTAAAAATTATGTTGTTATTGAACATGGGTCTGTATCAAAAAACTGTACTTACCTTTGATGAAGACCTCTTCTGTAAGAGCAGATCTCCTTTCTTATTGAATAAAAATACACTAAATGCCCTGTGCAAAGGTATGTCCCCATTTTTTTGTACCAAATGACATTCTTTTTTGCTTGCTTGGCCAATAATATTGTCATTAACATCTACTAGGTAACATTGCTCCTTCAAAGAAGCTTCTTGTGTAGGATCTATTTCTTTCGCTTTGATTAAAGATGTAGCAATTGATCTATTTAAATTACGCTGTACTGAAGATCTAATAACAGAAAACATTGTTGTTCCAACTAAAAAAAAAAAATAAATATAATTTAAAAAACAGTTCTCATCATAAAAGCAAAGAATATAGACGCATATGCGTCTATATTCTTTAATAAAAGTATTATATATTTCACGTTGTTCTTTCATAAGTGTCTATGTATTAGCTTCTAATTGCAACCAACGAATACCTTTATTCGTTAATACAACTTTCCTTTGACACCTTTATTATAGGATGTTAAAAATAATATTATAACTTTAATAAATAGGAATCTAAATTTTTATTTTGTGTATAAGAAATTTGGGAATAACTCCGACCTTACCTCAAGCCAGGAAAAAGTTATGACACTAAGTTTATGGAACTATTTAAAATGTGAATATAAATTTAAATAATCTACAAAATTTTACAAATAAAAGTCATAACAATATTAGAATGACATTAACCTACAAACTACAAAATCGCATATTTTAAATATTTCAACCACAGGTCATCAAATTCCAACGACTTGTCAAATTTCAGTCAAAAACTTGACAAACTTGATAGCTGTCTGTCATACAAACGATGAATGGCTTTGGCACAGAATAATAAACAATCAGAAGGGCCACTCTCAGATGCCGCCTTTGAAGTTTTTCAGCACGCTCGCCATGTTTTAGGAGGACACAGACATATAATTTGTGTGGTTATGTAATTGTTTATATTTATGTTTAATTATATTATATTTATTTTATTATATTTAACAATGTTAATATAATTGTATAGTATGTCTATGATTGCCGTAAGTCAAATAAACCTGGTTAATTTTTCCAAGCACACCACATAAACGACACTAATTTCTTTAAAATCCTCCTAAAACATGGCGGAACGTCTGCGCGGAGGAGATGCGCGTACTTAATTTTCCGTGGAGAGTGGGTATTCTGTTTGTTTATTATTCTGTGGCTTTGGCAGTGTCACAGAATAGAGAGTTAAAGTGCAGGTGTAGGTAACACGTTAAGGCTAACGTAAACGTAAAGAAATTACGTTTACGGTCACTATACGTTTAACTGTGAAGTGTAAAACGTTAACGCCTAACGTGTATTTTTAACCTTACTTTTTATACATTACGATTTTTTTCATTATTTTTAAGTTACAATAGGTTTGTTCGTAGTAGCGATTACAAACGGTTTGTGATTTGAAATACAGTGTGCATGTTCAGTTGGAAACTGTTTGGAATTAGTTTGTGATTTTGTGCTCTGCGAACACCTAAAATTTTATATTTTGCATTTGTCATTGTCGTTTGTCAAATCTCGAAATCTCCTTTTCTTAAGGCCGTATGATGACACTATGCATTTTCTTGTATCGTTTCTGATATAGAAAGTTATTTATGTTTTCTTGTATCGTTTCTTTTACCAGAAATTGTATGTGATTTGGCACATGATTGGTCGAAATTTTGACAACTATAAAAATAGAACTGCAGTATTTTACCTGAGGACTCCAAGCTAAAGGGGACTGAGGACATATCCGGTAATATATATTCTTTATCTATGGACATATGCTACTGATTATTTTTTTAAATACTGTGGTGCAAAAATTAAAGAAATGAAATGTCCCAATATTAAAACTAAATTGGAAACCACAATTTTTGAAGATATTTAACGGGCTGTAATCCTCTAATCTATGGCTGTAATGGAAGATAGAAATAATAAATAATTTGGTTGTGATAATTTATTTGTTTTTTTTTTTACAAATTATGTGATTGAATGGCATGCTCTTGAAATTCTACTCTCTTATTTGGAGCTTTAAAATAATCTTTATAAACTCATCACGAATTTTTAGAGCGGTTATGTACTTATTTTTTAGTAATATATCTCCTCTTACTTTCAGTAGTTCCGATGCTGTTTGATTAAATCCCTGTGATTTATTGTTTTTCAATTTGGCTACTGCTGTTCTAATCTTTTATTGTTGGTGCCTGATGGGCACTTTTCTCTGATGTCTGCTTGGTCTAATTGTATATCAAAGTTCTCCTCCAGCCTCCATTATGTCATAAGTTTTATGTTTTTGCGCAGAAATTGGCGCATTTCTTGTACAAGAAACTGCAGAGGACATACATTCTTGTATCGTTTCTGATATAAGAACTATACGCTTGTACGATACTATTCATTTTTTTGTTATATCAGAAACGATATAAGAAATGATACAAGAAAATGCATAGTGTCATACCGCCTTAAGAAGAATGTTACGAGATACTCAAAATTATTTTTCACTAAGTGATGCTTAATTTAGGCAGCAATACCGCATTAATAAACAAGCTGCAAATTATTTGATAAGGATATTAGAACCATATTTGGGGGAGGGTGTTTATGCCTCTAGAAGACCCAAAATGTTTAGGGTAAGTATTACTAAGCTACAGTAAAATTAAAAATATATTAGAATATAACCACTAAGTCAAAAGTCACCATAATTTCTTTTTGATTCACAGACAATTTAGTGCCACCATCACCGACAGTCTCTCCATCCATTTTCTTTCAATTCAAAATATAATAATTGAGAATGGCCACTAAAACGTTAACAACTCAAACAAGAAACAAAAGGCTAACGTAAACAAAACAAACATTTAACAAGCGCTGTGTAGTGTGCAGCCAATAAACAGGACGGCCAACCCAAATTCTGAGCAGTGTCAAAATGATAAAGTAAATATCCCCACTTTTAACTAAAATCGAAATGAATGAGAATCGCTAGCGATTGCCACTGTCATGGCGTGGTCGCTTTTAAATTTCGACCTCAAAATGAAATAGAATCAGGGCCCGGGTCGCTAATATGTATACAAAATAATGACAATTTCAATGTTTTCCCGAAGTGGATGCTTTTGAAATCTACCACCAGGCGTCGCCCACTTTGTGGTTCCTCGCCAATACCAATATTCTGTGTATTCATTACTTATATTTTATTGGAAGTGGATTTAATTGCTATTTTGATAACTTTTAAAAATATTTAATAATGACTAAAAAATGAATCGAGAAATCTGCAACTACGTTGAGAACAAGAAACCATTATATTATGCACTATCACAATACAATATTAGTTTCTATAAAAGTATTATAAAACCAAAAATATTCGAAAAACAACAAACGTAAATAATCATATACGATATGTCAAAACAATCATAACAATATGGACGAAGCGAGGTCGTTTTTAGTCACATGATGTCCTCTCCATAGATTCCATAGAGTTAGAATCTATTCTAACTTGATGGCACAGAATAATAAACAATCAGAATGCCCACTCTCCAAGGAAAATTAAGTACGCGCATCTCGTTCCGCCATGTTTTAAAGGGAACCAGTGCTGTTCAGTGAAAATTTATCTGGTGTGCATAGAAAAATTAACCCGGTTTAATTGACTTACGGCAATCATAGACATACTATGCAATTATTTTAACATTGTTAAAAATAACATAAATATAATATAATTAAACATAAATATAAACAATTACATAATCTCACAAATCATATGTCTGTGTTATGTGTTTCGATGTCGATAAAGACCCATTACACCAAATGTGATTCTCAATCCGAGTCTGTGTTTTCTTAATTAAATTTGCTCGTTATATGCGAGACAAATTTTGGCTTAAATGTAGCGAATAACGTAAAGATTTTTATGTGGCTTTCATCGATTACGAAAAGGCTCTTGATAAGCTACAGCATGAAACGCTTTAAACATATTTAGAACCAAAGGCATCGATGGTAGGGACCTACGTATGATAGAAAAGCTGTATTGGAAACAGTCGTGCGAGCCAATGAATTTTACATTCAAATAAGCATCATACAGAGATGCATTCTATCCCCGCTGTTATTTAATATATACAGTAAAAACAGGAATCTTGTGAGAAGGCGGAGCTTCCAATGCACAAAGAGAGAAAGTGGGCCAAAAAAGGATGGAATTTCCTCGAACATTACAAACATTGTACCGATTGATAAATACTCGCTAGATATTAAAAATTTTGCAATCTTGTCAATTTGTGGATAATCACAGTAGTATTGGGTATTTTTAGTAAGATATCTAAAAAGTTAGCTTCAAATAATTGATACAACTTAATACCTAAAAGAATATGGGAATGATTTTTGATCAGATATGATATACAGTTTGTCCCAAAAATTTTAAGATTGATTGATTAACAATAAGATTAAGAGACTTTCATTTTAAAAGATCTTACTTGGCAAACTTCATTGTTTCATTAGTATTATTTCAAAATAAATATTTAAATAAGGAATGATTATATGATTCTTACTATCATTTTATTTTAATATGAAAGTAACACATTCAAAGACGCACAGACAAAGCAATTGAACACAAACAGGCGATACTAAATATATCGTATAACAACGATAAGTTAAACACTGAGATTGCAAAAACTGTTTGCATGTTTTAAATATGTAACATTTTTGCCTATTGACCATTTACCTAAAAAATGTAATTGCCACTAAGATATTAAATAATACCAGATCATTTAATTTTTAACTATCAACAAAAATATAAATGATGACAAGAATGAATTTGATGGTAATACAATCTCCGCCGTAGCACATACTTCTAAGTCGATAAGAGTGTTTAGATAACATGACTCATTTTCAATATGTGTGGATGGAACATTATTGTCCTAATAACAATTCTGTTCTGGCAAATCAATAACTTTAATTATTTGGTAAACCTACATTGTCACAAAATATAAATAAAAATCATTAAAACTTGTTTGTTAATAAATTCTGAGAATCTGTTAATTGTACTTTCGGAAACACCTGTCGTTGCTGCCACACGCTCTTTTATGCGATGATGAGGTATTGTTCCACCTTCTTCAGCTTCCTTTTTCATAAAGGCTAACACATTAGCAATTATTTCTCGACCTTGTGTTTAAAATAACACTAATTTAGGTATAGCTACTATTTTATTTTACAATTATTTCCTCACTTTTACAGTTTTTAATTTTAACAGTGTCCTTAAAAGAACTTTTGCATAAAATGAATAAAACTAAAATAATTAACAGAAT